ATTCCACTCGCTCTTGTTGGATATGAGATGATTATAGCCAACTCGGCGCTACGCGCCTCGTTGGCTATCTATCACCTCATATCCAACGCGCGCTCGTGGAATAATTGTTAAATATTCAAATAAAATGATAGTAATGATAGTCCAGGAGGACTCCTTGGTTGTTTTCACTGGATTGCGCCATGAACTAATGCTAATAAACGCATAGAAATAAAGATATTATTATTTATTATTACTGCCCTTTCCATTGGCTTGGGAAGTGTTGGGTGATAACAAGTGTGCAGACCGAGGAGATATTTTTGAAGAACAAGTTACTATTTCAGTACCGAGAGGTAGATGCTGGGCAATCCACTTTGCAGCAGCTATGGCCATCTCCTTGTTGTTAACAGCATACAGCATACTCTTTGCCTTTTCGCTTTTGTAGTTCTTCACCAACTGGCTCGGTGCTTCATTCACGCTCAGATCATTTATGTTGGGATCACTATCAAGATTACTTGGAGCCGCTGGACCGGCCGAAGATCGCACTAGGTTACGTATTGCTGTTAGGTACATCTCATCGCTGGAAAGCTTTAAAAGAAAACTGTCAAAAGTGAGTCGGAAAAGCCAGAGGTGTATGAAATGTTTCACTAATAAGCTGTGGACAGATAGCCATTCTTTGGAAAACCCGAAAAAGGTGTACAACTTTTTTACAACATGTCCTGTTATAACATAAGTCACGCAAAGCGCGCGCTATGAGTGGTCAATTCAATGTCTACCATTTGCCAATGCGTGTACGCTGCTGACGTGAGGAAATCTTTCCAAGTAAGCAAATGTTTCGAAAGAAATTTTATTCCATATTTTAAATCAAGTGGTAAACACCCGCAGCGTACACTATTGATTTATGGGTGCGCTTGGGAGGTTTGCTAAGCATTCAAGAAGCTAGAGTCACTCTCGGCTATCGCCTCGAGCGACTTTTACGCTTCTTTTGTGCTTAGGAACCTCCCGCGTGCAAACATAACTCAATAGAGTACGCTGTGGTGTTTACCATTGGTTAATTAGTAGACTGACGACAGATACCTTACCTTGAGCAAATTAGCAATGCCTAAAAGCTTTGGAACTGTTTCCTCAGACAACTCAGGAGCTGAAAAATTGATTCAAATGGAAAAACTAATCATGTATTCAAACATGGAGGATCCTTTCTGGATCCAAGTAAAAAAATAGTTATCAAACAAGGACAAACAATTAAACGTCCATATTGAATCAGCTGCTTACCGAGAACTTTCCATGGATTCCCGTAGAGCAGAGAATGATATGGGAGCCTAGTTGTCGACATTACGGACAATGGTTTATTGTTGTCCAAGGTGGCCTGTGAAGACTTAAATGTCAGTGACCTGTTCACACATTCTCCAAATTTTACTTTGTTGATGTGGAATTAGGGGACCGGAGAAATCAAAAGCAAAGCGGAAAAGGAGTTTGCTTTTTCAAAAATGAAGTAAAAAACTTGTATCCTTCTGCGATGTCGACAGTTTAGTACAAAGCACAGGTTTGCATCAAAAGTTTTAAATGATAGCAAAGGCCACGCAATTGTTTTTAAGGACATAAACCCGCTGTGATGAACTTCAAATCAAACAGATCTTTTTTTTTCCTTTTAGTACAGAATGAACGCAAAGACGGACCATCCGCACCCTTCAGTGTCTTAATATTTGTTCAGAAATGATGGATTAAAAAAATGTTGAGGCTGAAAAAGAAGGGTTTTAAAATTTCGTTGAAGTCTCACCTTTTCATTGTCAGCATTCTGCGATGAACTGTAAAACGATCTCTCATAACTGGATGGTACTGCTTTGCGCTCGTATTGGTATAGGTAGTCCAATAACTGAATACCCTGTAAAAAAAGGTTGCAAAAACGAAAAGCTAAAAGAACCTTGACTTCTCTCTCATGGCAGGTCCACAAAAAAAATTAATTACAAACAAATTGTAATATATTCGAGTTCTTCTGCTTTAGAAAAGTTGTCTTGGACCCAGAATTTCCGTAATATTATATCATTATGTCACACGAAATCCTTCGAATCTTCCGTCCACGCAGTTTAATAGAGAAGCAACATGTTTAAATCATCAAGGACAAAAGTATATCCACACAGGGATGTTAGCTCTTTTCGACAACTATTTCTCGTTCTGAATTTTCTACTGTTACCAATTCTGGGTCTTGTATAAACCGTAATAATTAAGTCTTTCTTTTTAAGTTAAGGATGACAGGCGAGCAGCTGTATCAGATGGCTCCTCTTTAATACTGCTCCCATGATGAAATTTAAGACGTCTTTCTGCCCAAATAGAAGCCTACTTTTTAGCAAAAGTACCCAAAGCCCAATCCTTAAGACTCAACTCCCAAAACGTTGCTAAAAAAGGAGAATCTTGTAAAAGAGCCTGACAGGCAACTCCAAAATTTTGATATTAAAGCAGGGCTTTAACTTGACTCTTCAAATACCTCTCCTCGTGTCCAAAAATTGAAACGGAATAGGGTTGAAAAGTGCCTCCATATGAACCTAAAATTTTTTTATTCCCATTAATGTAACTTATTCAATTTTGGAGTAGCATGGTTGACAGTCATGGGTTTTCTTTTTTATATTCCACGACTGTTCCTTGACCTGCGGCAACCATGAGTTGGTTTCATACCTTGTCAACGGTTGAAGCAGTTTCCTCTCCCTGAGAGAGTTCCTTAACCAGGTTGAGTATGAACAGAATTGTATCATAGTCATACGGATCCACCTGAAGAGCAACATTTAACCAATCAGAATGTGAGAATTTATTCAATTATGTGATTCTATGGAGTAATTGCATACTAATGTTAGGGTGTAATATGTTGAAACCTTTTTTTCGAGGCTGAGTTGTTTCCACTAACCTTTGACCCTACTTCCACCAACAATTTAAGAAGAGAACTTGAGCAGGAAATTTTATGGACTACTTTCCGCACATTCCTTTGATAACTCAATTCTTCCATGCCGTCTTGTGAAACTACCAGCGGAGAGCGAGGGGAGGGTGGAAGCAGTTGCTGTCTTACATATGTCAACAAAGCACTATCTTCGTCCAGTTTAAACGCCCTGAAAATCACAAAGAACACAGAGGTCATAAGTAATGAACCACTAATGCATTTGTGACTTATCCGGACTTGTAAAGTACGGAAAAGTTTCAGTATTAAAGAGATTGTAGCATAATTACGCATTTTCATTGTAAAGGCATCGAAATCGGTAACAGTACCTGCAAAACTCCAAAATCATCTCGAGGCTAATCTGTTGTTTTTGCATCAGGTCTGGTAAAATAGCCAACTTCTCTTGTCGGTCGCTTTTGTACACGTCCTTCAGTGACATCTACAAATAATTGAAATCGCACGTTAAATCCACTATATATATAGCTGTTTGCAGAAAGGTTGTCAGGAAAAGGACAAAGTGCATACGAAAATCTCGAAAGGTAATCTAGGTATCCGGTAACCATGAATTTCAATAAGTAAAATAGATAAATCTGGACGAAAACCTAATGAACAGGGGATAAATACCGACTTGCACGTGAATGCGAGAGGAACAAAAAAAAAAAAAGAAGCGCCCATGAGAAGCAGCGTGGTCGAGAGGTCAGCGTGTCAGATGCGCACTGCGGAGGTATATGTACACCGCTCTTTGATCCTAGCCCCTAGTTCAAACCTCCGACAAGTTGCTACAACAAGGTCAATATAATTCATGACGAGATGTATTCTTCCAGTAAAGGAACAAAGCAGTCCCTTACCTTTAGTCGGCCAAGTTTCATTCCCCATGTGGCATTGGTGAATATCTCCTGGCACTTTTGCAGAACAGCAGGTTCATTACACAGCTGAGCATAGTCTATGCCAACCCTGGCAAAAGCCTACAAGAAAAAAGTGGAGTTCCACCAAACAATCGGTCTACAATCCTTCCATTTTTCAAACACGTTAAAACCAAACAAACAAACAAATTTGAAACAACACAAATGTAAGAGAAAATTAATTTGATAATGTTTACAATAACTACGATAAATAAATAATTTCTACCAATGCTTGTAATATTGTCTTACCAGAATTTTAGTACAGCTCTGACCAAGAAAATTAGTTCCAGATACCAAGAACTGAAAGGCAGTCTGTTTTGGTATGGAACACAGGTAACCAAGACCCACGTCATGATCAACTGATCGATAATTGAATACCTACGTGAAAAAAAAAAAAAAAAAAGAAAAGGAAAATCTGTAAAGGGAGCTTTGGTAAAAAGAGCTTGGGAGATTTTGTAAAAAAGTTCATTAGTGGGCCACAGTTGTTAGTTTTGTCGTTAGTTTTTGGAGTCGCCACGTGCAAAAGCGAGAGTTTGTCAATTGTTTGTCATTTCCTTCTTTTCCCTTTTTTTTTTTGTGTGCAAAGAGTTCGAAAACCTTGCCGGCGAGTATGAGACAGAGAGTGGAGACATTTTGCTGCTGTAAAGATTTAGTTCGTCGATTGAGCCTTTGAGTTGTGACTATTGGAGGTTTTCTGCAGGCAGGATTAACAATTACTGAGACACTGCGACCGTATTGACAGTTAGTATAATTCTTACTTCGCCGAAAAAAAGCTTGAAATATTTCTTAGTGGCCCCTTCGAGTCCTCTGTATGTTACCTGGTACAAAGCTGGCCATCTAAACCGCTTTTACTATCGATTTAGCAAAGCATACCTTCCTCAACAGGTTTCCAGAAAGCTCGTGAATCATTTTAATGCTCATTGTAGCAATTTTCGCCAGCCTCTGTTTCTCATTTTCGCTGCTCTTTTGATCCTCCTGGAAGACAATAAAATTGTCATGCACTTGTGGTGAAATTAGGCTAGAGGACTTTAACAATTTGTCATGGATGGATTGCAAGTCAAGCTAAGCCACTAGTTATCGTCTCACCTTGTCGTTACCAAGCATGCTGTTCACCGCAAAATGTTGCAGACAAACGCCAAGCGTCTGAGAAAGACAATTAAGAATGCATTAGGAACTTAAGTATGTAATGGAGCATGTCACTTATTTGTGCAAGTGCAAATAAGCAATATTCTCGACAAAAGTCCTTCTAATCCTGTTTTGGCACCGCTGGAGTTAACTAAACAATATTTTCAACCATTTTTCCAATGATCCTCACCTGAAGTAAATACTGTAAAGCCAACTCACAGAGGCTGTTTTCTTGGAGGTGTCTGATAATGTTAAGTCCAGCATTGCTGGTTAGCATCAAATATGAAGGCTGATTGTCCACTTCGCCACTCTCAGCTGCTTTTGATTCTTATCAAAAACACAGTCATATATTGAGACGCGTAGATTAAAATATCTAACTCGACAAAAAATTTGAAAAGCTACGCGAGGATTGGTAAAATATATAATTAATATTTAGATTAATGTAAAGGATCAGAAGCTTATGACCTTAGCTCATGTCGTGAGCTTCTGAGATGATTTATAATAAAAATAATAAAGTATTTCGTTTGTCTCAGGATGCAGATCTTGATCTTTCTTGACTTAATAATGCTAGATCTCTACAAGTGATGAGGTTGATTGGCTACATGGCTTCATCCTACGTTTCATGATATCCCGCTGTAAATGGCTGGTTTTAAATAGCTGTGAAAGGTGCATTTCGATCCTCGCTGTTTTAGTCGTTCTCAAGTCGAAACGTTGAGATCTACATACCTACGAAGTGACTACACCATGACACAAGCGATGTAAGTCTCTTAAGTTGGTCGTTTACAACCCTTCTAAATCTTTTCAATCCTGAACAATTTTTCTCCCTTTTAATTTCATTCTTCAATTATCACTTTGGTGTTTATTTACCCTAGAGAACCATCATATCACATGCCTTCTTCAACTACCAATATCCTTGTCATAAAAAAAAAAATTAATATATCATTTCCTAAAGCCTTTCCTCCAGACCCAACAACTAAAGTCCAACTGCGGGATAG